CAGAGGTGGTGAGTGGTTTCTTTGTATGAGTTGCAGCGGGGACAGGTGTCATTTGTATAGATATTAGGCAGAGTGGTGTGAAGATGTGATTTAGTTGGAAGTGTATTGGATAGGATTTTGAGACGGAAGTTATATATTTTGGATTGGTGTTGTGTGGTTGGAATTGGTGTGTTTTTTAGAAAGGTCAAAGTATTGAGAAATAGTGAGAAGTTTGGTTTAAAGGTTTGTTGTGCTCTTTGTGAAAAGATTATTTCTGTGGATCGTATGGTTTTGTTGATTTGTTTGAGGAAATGCCTTGTTGGTGGGATAGGGGTATTATTTAGATTTTTGAGTGTATATTGCGTTGGTAGTGAATCGATTATGTTGATTTGTGGAAGTTGAGTATTTGATGATTGTGTTTTCAGTATGGTGGAGGTGGGTTTATAGAAGGTGTGAGAGATCTGGAGAGTTTGGAGAATGTTGTGTATATTTGTGATTGTATTGAAATATAGAACTTTGCACTTTTTCCTGTGATTGGCAGGTGGCGGAGCGAAGATGTTGTTGTTTAGTTTTGGGTGTTTGGAGAAGAAGATGTAGTCTCTGGACTCGTTGGAGAGAAGAATGATTATTATTGTATATAGGAGTGAGAGAAGAGGATTGTAATTGAAACTAGTTGTGAAGGATTTGTGATGTTGAATAAAGTTCCAAGTTACTGTTGTTATGTTGGATTGATATTGGTATGTTAAAAGGACTTCAAGTGGAGTGTCGTTATATTTGGGAAGGGTATTGATTGTTGGTTGTGATGATGTTGACATGTGTTTTTGGATTAGTGATTTGCGAAGATCTGGATCTATTAGTATTTGAGGGTTGTTGGAAGGGGGATCTGTATAGAGCGAGTTGAATAGATCATTTTTTGTTGCTTTTGTTTTTATTGTGTTGTTAGAGAGTGCTTTGGTGAAGAGATTTAGTGAGTTTAAAGGAACTAAAAGTTGACATTCGTGAGAAGTTGCATGAATATTGAGAGGGCATCCTTGGCATTTAGCAAGTGTTATTGACTTGTTAGGGTCGTAGCTGTTATAGGACCAGTGGTTGATGAGAAGGTTGTTTGTGTTTGTTTTTTGTTTTTTCCCGATTATTATTTCGTTATTTATGAGAGATGCTAACCATTTTCTTTTTTTGTTTGGTTTTACCGGAGTTGTGCCAGATTGTTGGTATTGTAGTTGTGATAGTAGTTTGTGCCAGAGGGGTGTTTTTCCATGAGCGTTGAATCCAAATCTGGCGGAGATGTGTTGCCAGTTTGTTATATTGTTGTCATTATATGTGAGTAGTTGTTCGATGTAATAAATGTTTTTTTTGGAGAGTTGGCTTGCGAAGGTTGACCAATTTGTGTGGTGTGATAGGAATTGATGGATAGGTGTGTTTCCTCCTGGGATTTTGTGATGGCAGTTTGGTTCGGAACAGAATGTTATGTTATAGTGTTTGGCAAGGTAGATTGAGTAGGTTGTTGTGTTGTGTTTGATGATTTGTTGGTTTTGGAAAATACAAAGAGGTTGACAGTTTTGGATTTGAATTGCATGAATTTCCAATTCTTTGCTGGGTTTGGTAGTGGGATTTGTTAGTGTATATTGAAGGTTAGATATTAAAACTTCTGATTGTAGGTCTGAGATAGGTTTGATGTTGAAGATGTATGGATTATAAAACCATGTTTGTGGAAGTGTTTTTTCGATGTTGAATTTGTGTTTGATAGTTGAGTCGATTTTCCTTTGAGTTTTGTTTAACATGTTTGGGGTGAGGAAGGTTGTTTGTAATTTGTATTCTATTCGTGGGAGGAGAACTTTGTTGTAGATATAAGAGGCCATATGACCTGTTGTGAATTTTGATTTGAGTGATTGGGAGATTGATTCGGTGTCCTCGAGAATTTTGTCACGATTGGGTGTAAGGATGCTATGTTCAGAGAGCCAAATTCCTAGAATTCTTATTGGTTCTTTTTTGGAGACTGGAGATATGGGAGTTGTTCCTTGGAAGATTTTTTTGTCTGGTGAGTTACTGTTTAGTGTGATTAGTTTGGTTTTAGTTGGGTTAGCCTTGATGTCATTAAGTTCAAAAAATTCTGTTGCTATGTTTAGGTTGTTTTGTATTTCAGTTTTTGAAGTGGCGAGAAGGTTCAGGTCATCCATATATGCTATAGTGTTATATTTTAGTGATGATGATTGTTGGGTTAGAGCAGTAATCAAAGGGTCGTAGAAGATTATCCACCAAAGAGGTGAGAGTGTTTCTCCTTGATCAATTCCATCGGGAATGATGATTTGTTGAGTGAGACCTGAGTCTGTGATTATTTGGCAAGTGCGGTCTGTGAGGATGTTACTGGTTAGGGAAATAAAGGAGTCTGGTATTAGAAGGCGTTGCATTGAGCGTTTGAGCATGTCCAAGTTTACTGAGTCAAAGGCTGCACTGATGTCGAGGGAGAGAATCCATAGTTCTTTTTGTGTGAGTTTATGGGTATTGTAAGTTGAGTTGAGAATTTGAATTGGTTCAAAAGTGCTTTGGTTGGGCAGGCCTGCGAAATTTGCTTTTTGGAGTATGTTGTGTGTAGTGAATATATGGCTGAGTCTTTTTGTAAGAATTTTGGTGAGTATTTTCCTGAAGGAGTCAACAAGAGCTATGGGTCTCGTTTCCTGGATATTATATTTCCACTGGAGTTTTTTGCTGATTGGGAAGATATGATAATTTTTCCAGTCTGTTGGGATTTCCTGTGTGGCAAGAATTTGGTTGAAGATGGTGTGGAGATATGGGGTTAGTGTTTTTTGTGTTTGTTTTATAAAGAAGTATGTGACTTTGGAGTTTACACTAATATTTCATATTCATCTATAATGATAGATATTATTTTTTATTGTAGTATAATAATAAATATCATTTTTTATTATTCTAAAATATTAAATATCATTTAAATATTGGATAAAAATTCAAACTATGAATACATTATTTTTAAAATTATATTATCACCGAAAATCTACATATCTAACTTCTGAGCAGATAGAAACAATTAGATCGCTCAAAGATAAGGTACCTAAGTATAGAATTATAAGAGATTTCCATATTAATGAACATCGAGTAGATAATATATGAGAAGATCGAGAGTGCCAACAACAAATAATACAAAGTACTATTTCCACTGAGATATTATCTATATCTACAGCAACTTCATCTAAAAAATTTAATCAAATCAAAAAAAAGGCTTTATATCCAGAATCTATCACCCCTCTTAATGCAGAAATAAAAAAGAGAAGTTCCAAATTCCAGTCTAAATCTATTCACATATCCGATCCAATACCTACTAATAACTCTGATGTGGTAGCATCTATACTTAATGAGACAGAAAAAATAAATAGTGAAGATTTGGATACATTATATGAAAAAAAAGCTAGAAGAGATGAGAAAAATAAAGCAAATATAACTTACCTATTAATTACTACATAGATTTATCTTTTCTTTATCTATGTTATTATCTCTAGAGGAAATATATTCAAATAGCTTTTCATAATGTATTTGTAACTTTTCACACAGATCATTTATTTCAGCTTTAGACTTGAAAGTAATATATAGCAATTTTTCTAACTTCTTATAGCTCATACGTTTTTTTTTAATAACTGATTATCAGAATCTAGAGATAGAACTCCATTACTTTGCAATGTGTTAAAGCCCGCAGGAGCATGCCATTCTTCTAATGGTACATTGTTATCCTTATCACTATCTGTCCTTTGAGAAAGTTGACTAGATACCAATAGCTTATCATTCTGAAATATGGTGGTGCAATTTATTTCGAGCTTATTCTTAATCTTATGCATATTTATCGAAATAAAATACTTTTTACCATTACATACGAGTTTTAATTCTCGTTTTGATGCAAGCAAATCGTAATCATATTTATCTAGGAGAGTATTAGACAAAATTAGCATGGGTTTGGGATATTTGGCTACTGCAAAATCAGAATATATAGTGCAGCCTCAGGCAAAATTTATTGGTACATTGTAAACAATTCCAAATGATTCAGTAGGGACAGTAGCAATACCTCTAAGATTGTGTTTTTCTCTTATATCAATATCTAATTTTAATCATTTAGCTATATTCTTAGACATAATTGGAAAATTTGCACCAGAATCTACTGTGGCTGCCGGAATTACTAATCGTTTAATTTTACATTTTGTAGTTACAACATCTGTAGCTGAATTTTTTTTTTGAACAAAATCTATCTCCATAAGATCATCTATAATCTCTTCTTTCTCTGACTCAGGTGTATCCAGAACTGGTTCTCGATAATTTGTAAAATCTGAATTTATAATAGATGGAATTATATTATTCATAGAAGTTTTAGTAAAACTAAAGATATTGTTTTTAATCATTTCTATTATCTCTAAATCATTAAACATTTCTAGAATAATTTTTCGGATCTGTTTATCAACAATCGTACCTGAATTTTTTTGTATTTTTTGTAAAAAACATTTCTTTGAACCAGACTTTTTAGATAATAATTTATTTGATTTACCCTTCCCTTTACTTGTTTTTTTTTGCTTTAGAAAAATGTACATCAAAGCTATAATCAGATTCAACCTCAAATGAGGAATCCCCAGAATCAGAATTATTATTTGAAGAATCATTATCAGAAGAGTTTGTATTTGAACCTGAATCTATAGCAACCTTATTAACACTGCCTCTCTTTTTGGATCTGATCTTGGACTTTTTCTTACGAGTACACTTGCGAAAATTATGTCCAGTTCTATTACAATTCGAACAACAGTGTTTGGATAATTTAATAACAGCATTAATACCTGCTTCAATACCTTTTGCTATAGCCTTATTTATTGATAATTCTGATATACCCTTAGTAATTTCATTCATATCATCATTAGAAGTATTTTTTTTCTTATTGGGTAAGAGAGGCATAATTCTATTCATTATTCCTTTACTAATTGTATCCATGAAAGTTTGTAGATAATATGGACTTGCTAAAGAATTAAGACGATCTGTTGCCTCATCTATTCAAAGCCATTCTTGGTCATTCAAGTGTAAAAGTGGATCTTGATATATTTTATCTGGTTCCATTTGATTAGGTCGTATTAATTGTTTTTCTTGTATTTGAGAAGAAGTAGGCTGTGTTAACTGAGGAGTAGTAGTTGGTATTAAAGCTAATTGTGATTTTATCATACTATCTATTTCAGCTCAAGTTATACCACTACTCAGAATATGATTTATTTTGTAATTGGTGTGAGCTGGTTTCTGGCTGAGAAATTATAGGTAATATATTAGCTGAAAAGCTAGCCTCTGGCTTAATAGCTGAGACTTGATCAAAATTTGATCCTCCATACAGGTTTGGAGTACGTTCTAACCACATATTTTTTAATGCAATGAAAAATTCATTAAGACCTGCTGGAGCATCAGACCTCATCCAAGTGAAAAGCTCACTTGGCAATTGACTTTTAAGAAATCCCAAGACTTGAGCATCATTATTGGGTATACCTAACAAAAGAGGTCGAATTCTAGCTTTGTAGGTATCTGGAGTATCATAAGGTTGAAATCTTTCTTGAATTAATCTTTGAATTGCATATTGTTTGGTCCCAACTGTTTCTCATTGATATTTTGTTCTTGCCCATGCCCTCAAAGTTGCTGGAGTATTAATGGGAGAATTACCAATGATATATGGATTATTAACTAGTACTGGAGTATATTTTTTAGCCATCTTGGATTTTAAGATAGTACACTTGACTGCATCACCAAAATCTTCTGCATTTGCATTTTTAAGAACTGTTATATGCCCTCAGCAAATGCCTATGATTGTATAACCTTATTAAAATAATCATCAGGAGGTTCTTGACCAATATAAGGTGAAAAACTTGTAAGAATGGGTTGGATTAATTTTAATATGGGTAAACATTTACCTTCTGCCATATTTGGATTTATAGGTGGATTATTCTGTAGTAATAAAATTTGGGCTTGTAAATTTAAAATTAATTGCTGTGAATTGTACTCTCTATTTTCTACTTAATATGACTTGCCTTATAATCTTTGAATTTATTGTAATATCTATTAAAGAGTCGATCTCGATTATATTCTAATAATCCCTTATCAGCCTGGTATTGTTGTAGCTCCTGTTTCAAATGATAAATAAATACCTTATAAATAATTTCAAGAGTATATTTGAGTTTTGACTGTTCATACCATATCAAACTTGCATTATGCCACAAATGTCCCTGTATATTATATTTTTGTTGCAATTCTCTATCATGTCTCTGGCACCTCCGAAGTTTAAAATTAAATATAAACTTATCAAGTAATAAAGTATCAATACATGTTTGCATCACATTTTCTATTTTCTGAGCAATCCCCCACCAGCGCAACGATCCCTCTGTTCATTATTATAAGCTGTTGTCATTAAAGTAAGATCATTCTAAGAATTGTCACATTCTTAAGTAAGACGATTAACTTGATTTCTTAAGTTATGTCGCTCTTGGATAATTTGATTAACTTGGTTCTGTAAGTTATCTCGTTCTTGGGTAATCTGATTGACTTGGTCCTGAAAATTATTTTGAATAAGCTAATTAACTTGATTCTGAAGGTTGGTATTGTATTGTCTATAGAAATTGACATCCTGTTGTAGCTGGACTATTTGAGCATCTCTGTCATCCCATTGAGCAATAACACCATCTATATCCTGATATGCAGGCTGATAATTATGCCGAACAGTATTTAAGAAACCTCTAATACCTTCTATAATATTTATAGGATTATTTAATGGAGTACCATCACCTTGGATGTGATTTTTAATGTGATTTAAGCCTCGTTCAATTTGTATAAAAAGGTCAATATTCGCTATATTAATATCTATATCTTTCTCTTTTGAATTATATAAACTTGAAGAGCTTCCTCGAGAAATAATAATTTTGAATTTATGCCTTAGATTTTGAACTCGCTCTTCTGATTCTTGTAATTGCTTCTCTATATTATCGATATAAGATATCTTACCTCAGATTTTCTTTTTAGCTTGATATAAGCTTTTTTTAAGTGATAATATTTCCAATCTCAACTTTGTCTTTTCTTCCTCCGAAGCATTCTCAAGCCATTCCAGTTCTTTATTGAGGGATTGGATTTCTTTTTCACATCTGATATATTTACATTTTAGATCCTTTATATATTTCTCATTTGACCTATTGATTGAAACTTCGTTAGATAACTCATCTCTCAAAGCTTGATTTACGTGTTCCAGTTCCAATTCCTAATTAGATGCTGGCTCACAAGATATTTGATTGGAATGTGGTCTTTGAAATGTTATGGTTATTTTTTATGGCATATTATATTAACTTATTTCTCGTCTTTGCCAAAATATAATTTATAGTGAAATGTATCAAAAATGAGACAGCCTACTATTATAATTAACAGTAATGAAGAATTGGATCTAGTTTGTCAACTACTTTTTTATCAATCCACTGGTTATCACTTTAATCCTCGAAAGTTATATAAAGATCTCAAGAATGAAGGATATCGATTTCCATTCAAAAAAGTACGTAACTGGCTTATAAACCAGAATGAATGACAAAAGTATGCTCCATCACCAAAAAACACTCCACGGGTAAGTTATGGAAAAATTTCACATCCAAACTGCATACATCAGTGTGATCTCTTATTTCTTACACATGATAAATATAAGGGGAAGACATGGAAAGCAGTATTACAAATTATAGATGTGGATAGCAGGTTCAAAGCAAGTGTTCCTCTAATATCAAAAAATAGTTCTGAAGTTGCTAAAGCATTTAAGAAAATTTATGATAATCCCAATAACCCTCTTATGTACCTGGCACTTCTACAATGTGATGATGGGATGGAATTCAAAAAATCGGTAAGTCAGCTAATGGAAGTGCATAATGTTACAATTCGAGTAATTGGTGCATATTCACATCAGGGGCTTGCTCTCATTGAAAGATTTAATAAAACTTTAGTAGAGATGCTTTATAAAATTCAGTATGCCATCGAATCAATATCTAAAAATCCTAAATTAATAAGAGAGTAGGTTAAGTATTTGCCAGAAGTAATAGATTATCTTAATAATTATCCAACACGTCTCATTTGAGCTCCAGGTTTATCAAAATAGGGTTTAGCTCCAGCAAAAGCTATCAAACTGGAACAAGTAGAATCTAGGTCATCTACAAAGTATAAGTGTCCTGTTTGAAAGGATAAAGAGAATATGGGTAATTATTTTCGAAGGTAGACCGGAAATTTTCTGACCTGATCCTAAAATTTATATTATATGTATTGTTTAAAAGTTGGGTCCGAAAAAATCATATTTGGCATTTTTGTCGCCTTCAAAAATAATTACCCATATGTTGAAGAAAGGTGATACAGTTCACTATTTGCTTGCTAATGTGGAGTGGGAAGAAGGTATAGAAACAGCACATTATGCAACTGATCCAATATGGAGTTCTTCATTACATAAAATTTGCAAAATTGTGAAAATGAAGAATGAACCAGTTTTATATTATTTTGGAAGTGATGACAATGAATATTCTCCAAAGCGGGAATTTGTGAGAGAGAAGCTTATGTATGTATATTTAGAAAAAGTTCAGTATCTGCTTCAAAGTATATTGGAAGAAAATACTTGTTCCAGGTCTGTTAATTCCATCCATGTTATTAATAAAATTGCTAAAGCACAACAATATGCCAGGAAGCATGGTGGAGAGTGTCTTGGTAAAACTGGCCAAATAAATGATTTCAATATATATCTCTGGTCCTGTGAAAACAGACTTCATCAATGGAAAGCAGCTTATAAGATTCAAAAGGATAAATTTGAATGGTGCTCACTTTGTTTCCATTACACTAATGAGAGACACTGTAGATATATTTTTGAGGACCTGTTGGATAAGAAATTTCCATCCTATAGACTGTCATTTTTGAATGGGATGCAATTAGACAGGTATAATGAAGAATTGAAATTGGCGTATAAATTCCAGGAAGCTCAACATTTTTCTGAGAATCCAATGTTCCATAAGCGAGGCAAGATAGATTTAGATGGTCAACAGATGTGTGATCAAAAAAAGCAGAAGATATGCAAGAAGCAAGATATAGATCTTATTGAAATATCATATGATGCAGATTTATATAAATTTATTCGAAACATTTTAATTAAGAAAGGTTATTTATTGCATAAACAATAAACTCATATGATAAGTATGACATATAATAAACTTTATCCACTTGCTTTGCCTGAACTTTTAATCAAAATTTTTTCATATCTTGCTGAAGATAAAACATTATATCCAATCTTATTCGTTAACAGGTTGTGGTATTTATACTCTGTCCCATTAATATGAAGAAAGGCTGAATTTTCTGGTGATCTAAAAAAATCTTGTATGAAGTGGGGTAAATTCAAAAAGATATTGTGTAAAAATCGAAAACCTTATGCTTTATATTTATTTCAATTTCATATCTCTAGTTGCAAGGTCTCTAATAATGAGCTATATGAAATTGTTAGATCCTGTCCCAATTTACACCATCTAAAGATCAAATGGTGTCATGGTTTATCTAATAGAGTCGTTAGTAAGATTACACAAATTTGTCCCTTGGAATCTCTCAGTATTTCAGATAATAGTAAAGATATAAGATGATCTAGTAATATTACTAATATGAAGGATACAACTTTATATAAAATCATGAATTCATGTCCAAATCTACAATACCTAAAACTTGGATCTTCTAAGATAACTAATATGTCATTGAGAATAGTTGCTCAATCATGTATTAATTTGCATTGCCTGAAATTGGGATATAATAAGCATATTACTGATATATCTATAATCAAGATTGCACAAAACTGCTTATACTTAGAATATCTTGGTTTATAGACAAGTAATATTACTAATGCATCATTAAAACAAATTGCCGAATTATGTCCAAATCATGCCCAAAACTTCTCATTATAAGTTTAGTCAGATGCCAAAAAATAACAGATGGGAGTATATGTGCAATTTCTTCAGCTTGTCCGAATATGCAATTATATGCCTTAAAGAACTGTGAAGGAATTACTGATATATCTGTTAAAAAAATTGTACAATCAAATCTGAATCTTAAATATCTTAATCTTGTTTACTGTTACCCTATATCTGATGAGTCTATTTGTGAAATAGCACGACTCTGCCCTAAGCTCGAAGGCCTTCAACTCGAATCTTGTGATATTACTGATACATCTATTTATACAATAACACATTTGTATTATAATTTGCGGTATCTTAATATTGAAGATTGTCATTATCTCTCTGATATTGCCATTAATACTTTAATAAGTAGAAATCCTAATATTATTATTCCTGGCTGGAATCTGGCAGATATAAATAATGAGTTGGATACAGATAATTTATCAGAATAAGAAATTGTAGGATATATATTTGATATAGATACTTTATATCTACAAAACAATAATTAGTATTACTTAGCTTGATCGATATGAAAATAGAAAAGCTTGACCCAGTTGAAAAGATTGTTTTGAATATTGACAAATATAAAAATATAGAGAGATTTAATGGCCTTAATTCAATACCTCAATGGCCTTTCAACTTATTAGTCAGCAGACAAACTAGATCAGGAAAAACTAATGAAGTTATTAACCTTTTACTTGGGAATAAAATATAACGATTGTTTAATAAAAAAAAAGGTAGAACGAGATATATTAAGAATGATAATTTGATTTTGATCGATCATCAAATTAATGAACCTAAGTATAAATATCTCTGAGATTGCTATAAAATAATTGTAAATAGCCCCAAACCATATTGTGAAGATATTACATTCCGAGCAATGAAACCTGATAAAATGCCAAAAGTTGATGATTTCTCTTCTGAAAGAGGAACAGTAGCTGTATTCGAAGATGTATGTACAGAATCTAAAAAAATATAAGATAAAATAGCATGTTATTTTACAGAGGGAAAGCACAAAAATATCAGTTTGATATATGTGACACAGAGCTTCTTTGATTGTCTGAAGTTAATAATAAACAATCTTGATTATATTGTACTCTTTAATAGTTCAGAGACATATGATGAGCTAGTAAATATTGCCTGGCAATATACAAAAAACTGGCGTAATATTGTTAATATACTTGATAAAAATTTACAGGGTCAGGAATTTATTGTAATTGACCGGACTAGGGTCAAGGAGGATTCACTCTATATTAGAAAAGGTTGGGACCAAGCACTCAATATTTCTAATGAATAAAGTGTGATTCACGATAATGAGATAATTATTTTTTCCATTATTTATTAATACAGCAATATAATACATTTATCTGCCACTTCTTATATTATTGAGAAGCTGATCTTATCCAGCAGATGTGAAGTTAGAGTGATGGTTTTAACATCTTATTCACTACTATTCTTGAATGAAATAGCTATCAGTATCCAGCCTAATTGAGGTTGAAGTAGATATTGAAAAATAAATAAATTTTATTTGTACTGAGAGGGGTTTTTTGTATCAGATAAAATAAATATATATAGAAATAAAAGTAAAAAATGTTACCAACCCTCAGGATAATGAAATAAAGTCTAAGGTACTAGCCCTCAGGAATACTTTAGGTGGCTTATTTTAAATAGATATGTTATGTGACTAAATTATATATTGTTAACTTATTGCATTTCTTTTCAAACCACCCATAATAATTGATAATGTAATGCTAATTCTGAAGCACAGAGACCATTGGGTTTATATATATATTCAATGAATTTATGTTGTATTATTGTACATGCTTGAATTTTCTTACTAATTTCTCTTGCACATTTAACTTTTCTGATAGTATTCTGCATCCATAATTTATAACGGTGTAATGCATACTCATTATCATAAATATATCCTGAAATAGATTTTTGTTCGATTTTCAGTAAGTACTCATTATAACTTACACCACAGAAGGTATTTCCTGTACAATGGGTAGCCCAATGTCTCTCCATTCCCATATGGTTATAATTACCTATATTTTTGGTTTGTTTTCCGGTATATATTAATTGATTACAAGAGACACAGATAGCAATACCAATTTCAGGCGCATAGCTTTTATAAAACCCATTAACCTCAGACCAATATGTTATTAACTCCCTTGCTTCAAGATATTTTTTACTTTCAGTAGGTAATAGATCATTCTTTCTGAAATATTGTAAGCGAGGCCAAATTCGATCCATCCACTCACTAGGAGTTTTATTAGTACGAACTTGAGGCATCTTTACATATTCATCCCATTCAGCATCAGTACAATTGGTTCCACGTCTTTCACTTAAAGTAGTCATTTATACGACCTATTTATCTGTTATAAGTATATTGGATGTTTATGTGATTTATAAAGATTTTAGACCTATTAAATTTGGTTTGGTATTAATTGATAAAACACGATTCATTTTTAAGTTGTGTATAATCATTATATTTTGCAGTGATATATATTGAATTGTAATAAGAATTGTTGATTTTAATGAATTTATTTGTGGCGATATTTATATATAAATTGCTCGTGTACTATGGATATAGAAAAAAAGCTATTAATCATCACGAAATAGCAGTGAATAAAAGTCTTAAAGTACCAGCCCCTCAAGGGATACCTTAGGTGGTTTTATTTTAAATAGATATATATGGATAAGTTAATATAATAAATAGATAGATATACAGTATGTATTGCTTTGCAGACACGGTCTATACATTGTTAATTTGACATATTTCCACTCTAATATTTTGTAAACATGCATAATGGAAGGCAAGTTCCTGGGCATTTAATCCATCTGGACGGTAAATCCATTCTACAACCTTTCTTTGTATAGAAATACAAGCCTGGATCTTTTTCGCAACTTCTCTGGCACGTTTGATTCTTCTAACAGCATTTTGCATCCACAATTCATATCGACGAATTGCTTCTTTTTCGAAGTAGGAGTTAGCATCAGATCTGCTTTTAAGTTCCATATAGTCTTTATAACTAATATCACAATAAGCATTTCCTATGCTTGTGCTCCAATGTTTATCCATGAAATGACGAAACCCACACTCATAACCACTTCCTATTTTAGAATAAACTAGCTTATTACATGAATAACATATTGCTATACTTACAAGATTACCTTCATATAAATACACCATTTTTCTGGCGATAAGATATCGCTTTTTGTCATCAGTCAAACGATTATTATTCTTATAATTCGTCAACTGATCCCAGATTCGTTTCATCCAATCAGATGGAGTTTCCCCTTTATGGATTACTGGAAATCGACAGTTATCTCTCCATTCAGTATCGCTCAAAACTGGGCATTTATCTGTATAGACCATATTTATTGATTGTGTAATTTATAGTGTTTTTAGATATTATGCAATTATATCGAATTTAACCTATTTGATTTAATAACTATATACTCTAAATATCTTGATTCAATTTTAGTGAGATTGTATTGTTAGACCATCTCTTCGAAAATGTTATAATCGTCATATTTTGCAAGTGATGTATACGATGAGAATGGGAGAGATCATATTGAGTTGTAACGAGAGTTGTAGACCTGAAGGGACATTGATTTGCAATAGTTTAGAGTTGATTTTAAAGAATTTATTTGGTGATATTTATGTATAAATCACTTATGTACTGTGAATTTATTTTAGATACATAAAATCTATTTCGAATGTATACCCATTACACATCGATCAACAAGATATTAACCATGATGTTATATAATAAATCGAAAAGTAAACAACATAAAATTTTTATTAATAAAGATTTCGGGTTTTATTTTGTATTGGCCATGCCAGCTCCGCTATTGCCTCAGATGCTGGGGAAATAATATCAGAATTCAATCCGAATAGTAACTGTAGGCTCAAAGAGCCATTGCTCTGCAATAAAAGCATGAAATTAAATCAGTATAAATCATTTTCCGTGATCACATAGGATTGTTCCCTTGAGACTCTATATCATATATGTGCGAATTAACATTTGCTTACGAATCACGAAATATGAAAACTTGTTACTGAGATAAATACAGTAACTAGTTTATTACATGGAATGTGACCCGAGGTCACAACGTCACGTGACTGTGGCGCAGTAATGCATAAATTATGGCTTTTGACGTTTGCTTGTATTTTGGTGCTGAGAAAAATGAACTAATATAGCATCAATATCATCCTGACTCATTTTTGAAATTGACGATGCTGTAAAAGATTTAACCCGTTGGATCATACCCTCGCCAATTTCACTAAATAAATCATAGATTTTCTGAGCTCTTTCTTTTCTCTTTCGTAGTAAGGTCTCACTAACCGAGCTGGGGAGTTGTTGCCTAACTTCTTTATTGACTAACGCCTGGGCAGTACGTTTTGGATTGCTTTTTTTGTAATGATCGTATCTATCCTCGAGTGCTTTACCAAAATCATAGTACGTCTTAATCACGAGTTGATTCACACGTTCGCTTTGTTCTTCGGCCCTATTGATTGCAAGATATAAATCGTGAAAATTACCAGTATTTTATATGCCTTGGCATGAGCTCCGCTCTTCACTAACTTCCGATATCTGGGACGTTTCGGTAGATAATTCCTCTATAAGCTTCTTTGCTACATTCGAGGAAACTCCATTTCGAGTCTTTGACTCATCCTTCTTCTCGTCACTCTTTTTAACTTTTTTAGTAGACTGCGAATTATTGAAAGCTAATGGGTTGGGGCGTTTGAGTGTTGATGTAGTAGAATCTGTGGTCTCGTTTGTATTATCTTGATCGATCGGGTTTGTTCCATGATCCTCTGTATTAACTTGTTTTGTTTGCCCAGCCGTAACTGTGACTTCGTCCTCTTCTATCAACCCCATACTTCGCATAATCTCCAAACCGCCGTCATCATCTTCATCGGTGATGGTTACATTCGATTGTTGGGAAGCCTGTCCCTTATAATGATCATTAGACGCTATATGATACATACCTAAAGCTAGGGCAAGTTCTTCTCTATTAATCTCGATATCCCAATTACAGATTGGGCATGAAGGTCTTCGCACCCCTCCTTGCATAATATGCTTCTCGATACACAAACGGTGTAGTATATGGCCACAAGCTAGTATTGTAAATGCTTCGAATCGGAAATTAAGTATGGCTTTATTGCAGAGCTTGCACGGGATCGACTCAAGAATGAATTATGTGAAGAGAATTTGATTGCCCTAAGGTATGTTTGGTATTATGAAGACCCATATATAGTTATTCCAGAGCATCTTCGAGAATTGGGTCTCATTGAATAAACTTAAAACTTTAAATGCTCTATAATTATACGATTATTTTTTCATATTCCAATGTAACAAAAAATGTTATATACTTCCAACAAGTAGTGAAAAGTTTTATTATTCCGACACACATCACAATATAAAAGTACTGGACACACGTTTCCACTGGATGCAGTTATATACGGCGAAATAGTTTCTGAGGTATATAATGTGATAAAATTTGGTGCTTGCCTTTATTACAAATGATGACGCAAAAAATAATTACAATCCCGAATGTTTCCTAAGAAAGAATCTTCATAATTCATGCTTAATGATCTTCATATTTTCTACCCTTCTTACTTGCCGGGCTTTGTGAAGGATTTCCAAATGAACCTCCTTTCTCACCAGCCTGTTCCGGATTCTTCCTTTTTCGATTTCTGTGTGCACGCGAATGTGCAAGCGAGACACTATTCGTGTGTTCACAAATAGTATTCAACGTGGTCTGAAATTAGGTGATTATGATATTAAGATTCTAAATATTATCAAATATAGTAATGATGAACATATAATACCTGCAAATCCTTAAAAAGTACATAGAAACTTTCGAGTACTGGGAGAGTTTCTAGGGTGTTGGGCATCTTTGAATGAGAAATACAACCAAGTCGTAGTATATTCGTCGCTTTACAGTCCATCCCATATATATTATGAACCCATCCTTAGCAAAAAAAAACAAAGAAAAATCGTTAGTTGATGCGATTTCATTACTACAATTATTTCTGCTTAATTACCCCATGAGTGTATTCCAAAGACAAATGTGGAATGAATATCAGAGCTGGGTGCTTTAGAATTCTCTTTAAAGAACGTATATAAGATATCCCGCATTGCCACGCTTAGATCAACTTTGTCTTCGTAAATTTTTTTTTTATGAGGCTCTGGGAGTCCACCACTTCTGAGACCTATGAGAGCCTCAAGCTTGTTGATACTCTTTTTCAAAGTTCCTCGAAAATCGCACTTTTGTCCAATGCGAGCTCTGAGAACAACGGAACGACCTTCATTTCGGCGATAAGCTGACGCCCAACATACAATTTCCCACTATAAGATTATGTAAGATGGAATTTGATTACATGAAATCAGACTGGTCATGTTGCTTATCTATACTTACACATCCATCTTTAGTTTCTCCTTATTTAAGAATCTTTTGGCAAGCATGTTGGGAAATGCGTTGTCAAAGTCAGCCTCGGAAACGGGAAGATCAACTCTTTCCAGATTTTCAGCACTATATGTGCAAGAATTGACCGTAAGGAAAACAAAATAAAGTTTTTGATAATTATATTTTGCTTCACTCACTACGTGACAACAGCCCGTCTTAAAGTAGAAATAACATTTTTTTCCTCATCGCTAAGCTCTACTTTTCGATTCATTTCAATAATTTCCGGGGTTAATCTATCGATCGCGTTGATAATATCTTTATCATCTTTTTTTGTAATCTAAATTGTTCGAGTCAGTAACATTTTTAAAGTGTTGAAACAAAACAAATATTTTCTTTTAACTCACTTTTTCAACTTCATCGAAAAAATACTCTACCACATCAAGAAGATCCGATTCGATCAATTTAACTTCATTATTGAAACTTTCAACCATTTCCTCCCAGTCATTCGTCGAGAAAAGAGATTTCATTTGGGTATTCTCGGTCAAATCAAGTATATTCCAATATGCGAGGCTATAAGTGAAAAAAAAATCCATAATTAAAAGAATCATCATCAAACATTCATATTATCTATCAATAAACCTACTTCAAACATTTTTGGGTCTCAGGAATCGTCTTGATATAACTTGTCAATTTATCTCCTACGTTTGTACCACTACGGAGGACCTACGGACGCTGATAAGTTGACGAAATTGGCTTGGATTCTTCTATACGTTCCACGAAGTTAATATTACCATTCTCGTTGTTGGTAACACCGTTACTAATCTTGTCATTATTTCCCTTGTCCATAGTGAATTCATCGATTTTATCCGCGGATCCCTCTTCTTCTTGATCTTCTTCACTCGCATCTGGATCTGGATTAGAGTTCGCGTTTTTTGATGATGGCCCATCCTGTAATAAAAATTATCCAACCTATTTAAGCATACTCATTGAAAGCCTTTTAATTTATTTTAAAAGATTGTACCAATTCTTCCCGACGTTCAATACTAGGGTATTTTTCGTCTGATTCTTCTTCAAGCAACTTAATAACTTGGTTCGTTTGATTGCTGGTTGCAACATCCAGCATATCCAACGCAGTTGGTTTTTCACAACTAACTGTTCAGTAAAATCGTTCATATTAATAACTAGTGTGATAATTCTATTAAAATATTTAAACCCAGATTTTCATACTTGTTTTGCCTTCAATGCCCTTTCTCGTTCGATTTGACTCCAATATTCTGATATTTCTTGTTTATTGCTCTTCCATAAAAAAGCGAACCATTCAGTATATTAGTTCATTTCCAAATATACAAGACAAATCCTATGTAAGACATGTTAAGAGCTTGCTACATATAGCACCGAGGGCGTCACCTAACTCCAAGAGGTCAAGGGCGTCACCTTCCTCTCAGTGGTGCAAATATATAGGCAGACTCGCAAAATGCTATGAGAGGGCGTCACCTAACAACCCTGGTAAAGGACGTCACCTTCCAAGGGCTTCATAGATTTTGCTGTTGGTATCAGGTAAGCAAAAACAGAAATACTTACGGACCTCATTTATAAGGGAGATGGCAACTTCTCTTTTCTCTTGATCGTGACAAGTTTCAAATACTCTTACATTAGCCAAGAAACGTTTTCGCCACGTAGATTTTAATGAAAATATTGTTGCATAATCGTAGAAATATGACTTCATTGCCTCCAAGTATCCAAGATAAGACCAATCGCCTGCGGGAGTTATTTCAAAGTACTGTGCACTAGCTGAATGAAAACTTACAAATGAGACTAGCTTAGCAAAAAAAAGCAAGAATAACAAACATACCATCAACAATCGAGATCCTCTCCATAAATGTAACAAATAAAGCGAATGTAATATCTATGAAGGTATATTTTATGTGATGTACCCAAAAATTTACGTCACGCGTTTAATAATCATGTTCGCGAATCGCTAAGCCACTTCATTAAAAATCACGTGCTTGTTCTCAAAAATTCCACCCGCATGAAAAATGAATTAACTGGGTTTACGAATTCTGAATCTCATAAATAAAGTGTTTATATATTGATAAAATGAAAAAAGTTATGAGGTGAATTCTGCTAACTATTTCATATCTCATAACTCAGTGGACTAAAACCGCAGAAACACTACGCCATATTTCTCTCCTCACTAATGGCGACATGAATAATTTAACGATCCATATCCTCAACGAAAATATATGAATAGTAAAAAACAAACACACGTTAATCAGGTAGTATGCAATTGCTGATTGGTACAAAAAAAAATATATAACAGATAGGAATTTAGATGTGACATCGATGTTACTGGCGCAGTAACGATAAAATTTTACGTTCCTTTTTTAAAACTTCGATATCACATAATCAATATTTTCTTGAAATGTTTGACACCGAAAAATGATCTAATACCTTTTATTTTCTAGTAATTTTTTTTATTGTGAAACAATGAGGCTCTGTACGCGTCGCTTCTTGGATTCGGGTTCATCACAAGCGGGAATCTTATCTTTCAATCCATTATCTCCGATCGATGAAAAAAAATATCTAATTACTACAAATAACCAATTGAGACGTGTATCTGAAAATTAGGTTCCACGAATAACATGTGCTGGAATTATTAGTATGCGCGAATTGAATAACGATGTTCCGATTTTGTATAAGTTTCACCGGTATTTAAATCATAATAATAACCTTCATCGTCGTCAGAAAATCCACAGAATCCATCATCACCCTTAAATGCATTAGCAACATCCTCACTCTGTGAATCATCTTTGTCGTTATCTAGACATCTTCAAAATCGTATTCATAGCTGGGATCTCGATCATTACTTACATCCAATAAAGATTTTTCAGGTCCTATGGGGTGCTCTTCGAGCATCTCTTCACATACAGTATCTCAACCTCTGGTAAAGATTTAGATGTAATAGCATTTTTATTATATAAAGCTTCACTTGTCTCATCAACATCAGAAGAATCATCGGTAAATTCTATATCAGGCTTCTTGGTGAAGTGATCTATAATCGTTTGAATTTGAGTATTAGTAAATTTTGAAATTGTATCCGTACTATGTGTTTTGATGTATTGAATCTTGTCCATTCCTATTCTTTCAAATAAATTGTCAATTCTTAAAGCTTTCTGTGTCTGCTTACATAAAGTTTTGCGTTTGGTGTCAGGTAGCTGTTTGACAATAAAGTTATATACCTGACCTTTTGCCTTCTTTTCCCCGACTTTATTGTTGACCATAAAATCTTTATACATGCTTTTGAATTTTCTAGCATAGAAACACCAACGTAATGTTTCTTCCTGATTAGCTTTGATAGCACCTACTTCCGCATCACATGCATTTTTATATAGACTAATAATATCTCTATTATCTGGTGACAATTGGGACATGGCTAGAATAGACGGAGTTATTGAAGTCTCATTATTTGGGCGAACCAAGTTCGCTGAAATTTCAATCACGTGCTTTTCTTCCTTGAATAAAATCATTTCTCGAATCAAGTCCTGCTCGTTTTTCCACCCATGGGGCTTAGATGCAGTATTCTAGAAAACCGAGTGTGCCTCCTGGCTAGGTGATTCACATTGAAACTTCTTTTCCCTATTTCTCTCTCTCATTATATTACTAATCCTTTCTTTTTTTAGTAAATCAAAGAAATCGTCTACTTCCTTTTCTTTTAACGATTTAAGCTTTGTGTATATAGTTGTAGTCGGAGATGAATTAGTGACTCTCGATTTTGTCTCTTCCTGATGTTTATCAGGATTTGAAGTAATATCAGATATACCAGATACCGGAATATCAGTGTCTTTGGTACGAGTCTTTGACCCATCACATCGTGAGTTTATTTGTTCAGAAGAATTATTAAAATTTGTTTCAGGAGAATCATCAGAAATGTGATCGGAACTATTTTCTGTCCGTTTAAGATGGTTATCAGAATTTGTTTCACTAGAGCTGGTATTAACCAATGATCGACTGATTTCTCTGGTATCGTCTTGATCGGGTACACCGGAAGAATCATTACTATCTATAGTATTACCCTGGTAGCTCACTCTATTTTGCAATTGTTTCTGTTCCAATTTTGTGATTCTAGCTTTAAGTTCGGCATTTTCGATAGCAATATTTTTATCACTTTGTTCCAGTTTTATAAATTTGGATTCATGTTCTTCCAAAATTTGTTTTAATTTTACGTTCTCAGCTTTAAGTTCGATGTTCTCAGACTTGATCTCGGTGTTTTCCCGCCTAAGTGTATCATTCTCATCTACAAGCTTGGAAATCTGTTTTTCAAGTAAGTCAATTTTGGATTGCGTGTTTGCCATTTTTTAAATAAAATACAGATATATTCAAAAGTAAATTTATAGCCACTTTATTAATACAATATAAAATACATGTGAAACGGGGAATTATCTACCCACTATTTTTTGGTAATTTTTTAATCCTGGCCCTCTTACTGGCAGGGGAATTGTCAACCGTTATCCGATCCTTTAATAACCCAACAATAACACCTAGCACTCGTTTTACTCCTTTTCGGATCGATTCGAGATCTTCTTTGAGAGCTGTCTTCGAGAGATTGATTGGATATTCACTTTTACTGGTACAATAAAGACCATCGGTGGTGAACATAATAAAGTGCCATTCTGTAGCTAAGATATAAAGAACGTTTTCTATTAGTGAAGCCAGCAAAATAAGGAATTCTAGAATATTTGTAAACGCATCATACCTGTAGAAACTATTCTGTAGAGGTAGTCGTAATCATCATTTCGAAATGCTTGATCCGCTGTACGCTTCTTCTTATTTGTGTGATATGCGCTCTCTAGTTGCACAATATTCTGGAGATATCCGATTTCAACGTTACGAGGCTTACCCTCGGCTATACACATAAGATCCTCTTTCCCTTTGATAGCATAGTCGACACGCCCTGATGCCTCTTCCCCCGAAACATCTTTTTGATATGATATGTAGAGTTCTTCTTCGTTGGTAAGTCTCCGAACGATGGCGAGCGACGCATTTAATATCGATGTAATGAATACGCAACGTGTGGCTTCGTTAGCACTAGTTAACATTGTCTCCAAATTCGAAAGGGTAGTGGACACCCAATTTTCTTTGATTTTTATATACGACATCGCCTCCCTGAGATCTATTATTGCTTTGCAATAGGCTTCACCCTATAACGTGATGTGATTTGCTTTATTTTGTGGGTATATATAAAATCAGATATATTAACATGTGCTAGAAATATTTCATGTAGGCCATAGAGCCATGATTCGAAGAATCTCCTAAGGGCTTACTTTATAATAAATATATTAGCGAGCCTTGATTCGCTTATTGTTGGTATATCATGTATCGATCATGATTAATTAAATTTTTCTTGGCAAAAGTGATCGGTGTTCCGAAAAAGAACGCGTACTCATGATTTTTTTTATTCACTAATATAATTAAACATATTTGTATCTTATATAAAAATGGCGAATACGCAATCTAAAATCGAATCATTAGAAGAACAGATCTCCAAGCTTGTAGCTGAGAATGATAAACTTAGACGGGAGAATGTCGAGATTCCTGAACTTAGAAAAAAATTTGATGAAGTTGAAATTGAGAATACTAGAATCAAAGCTGAAAATATGAAATTAAAACAAACTTTGGAAGAACATGAAACCAGATTCACAAAACTGGAATATGACGTTTCACTAATCAAGGAAGAGAACTTGCAAGACAAGAACGCTAATATTTTGCAGAATCCGGTAAATACACAAGTATCCATTTCTGATGATACTCCCGAAATAAATTCTGATATATATGAGGATTCAGTAATCCCCACATCACCTATTCCTACAGAAGTCATATCATTGGAAGAGAAAGAAGAAAATGAATTTCTGAATTTGCGGTATAAAGATCAGGTTGGTAAAGAGATAATGGAGAGAATCAAGGAAGAAATACAGGGACCAAAACTTATCTTTGGACAATACTTTATCAGAATCATCCTATGATGATCAAAATTTGAAATCGTCCACAATGTCACAACCCATCTCCGCGACCGCCTCTGGTAATATCTCTGACTTACCGAAACAACTTCCTATAAAGCAAAATATCAATTCGCAGGCACAAAGTGTTATTCCTCCTGAGATACGTACCACCATTGAAACTACCCAATTAGAACCAAGCCCTATCGATCAAGTAGAAAGTACCATTACTTCTAAAATAAAAATTCCATACAATCAAAAAGTAGAACAGGGTCTAATGGGTGAGTTATCTAGTTATAGTAAGGAGAATATCGCTATACAAGACATGGATATACAAATTCCTAATCTTCCTCTAGAAACAATATTAATAGGATCTGATAAAGTTACCGCTGAGATTATAGTAGACTTGTTTAATACGGCAATGAAAACTAGACAAAAAGAAAATTTATGCTGGTATTGTTATACTAAAGCATATGAAAATCGAGTCATATATATTAAATCCACGAATAACATCGATGACCAATCAGCTAGAACACTGGTATATAATGAAATCAGATTGCTTCTTCCCGGTATCTCTGATGTAAATTTGCGTAAGAGAACTTTCAAGGCTAAAAAAGTTTATACGTTGTTCGAAGGGATAGGAATAGATATGATTAGGCAAATAACATACAGTGCAAATGCTATTTCAAGTCTAGCGGATATTCAAATCCAAAATATTATAAATCGTTTCCGTGAAAGGACCGTTAGCATAAATGATACAATTAATTGCCAAGAAGTGATCGGCGTTCCGAAAAAGAACGCGCATATGTCAGATTTATCTAGCTCAAACGATTCATCAACAGAGTTGGCACAGTCAAAATTACCAGAAATCGAGGTAAGTGCTGAGATAAGTGTAGTAAGTGATACAAAAGTCAATGTAAATATATCTGATAAATCTCGACCTCATATCTCTATTTTACCCGATGATCCAGAAGAAAAGCGAAAATCTGTTATTAATAAAGTGCTAGAGCAGTTCCCTTATTCATCTTCGAAGTATAGCAATAAAAATCACGATTATTTTGATTTTAATAGTTCAGTATCCTGCCCTATATGCAATAAAGATCATAAAAAAGAAAATATAAGAGATAATATAGAAGGTGGATGGGGTAGTGGTGATTATGTCAATATAAAAACTTATCATATCAATTGCTGGGAGGCTTATCAAAATTCAATCCAAATAGAAACGGTGAAAGCATAGAGCAATAAGAATCAATGGAAATGTAAGATAAATATGAGATTACGGGCTTTTTATTGACATGTTCCATGAACTTCTAGTCGATCATACCTGTGATGTGATTGGTTGATAAATTTCCGTTAACGATTTTTTAATTATTCTGACTGGATGGATCACTACTCTGGAATGCGGACACAGTTGGTATACTTATTTTTATGATGTTTTTGGATAGAAGAGTCAACCTTTTTCTTTTTAATATGAACATGATTCTTTCGGGTTTCTATTGGATTGAGATCATACCAGTCTGAACCCTGGATTCTGAATCAGAACTGGGTGAATTGATCTCTATTGCAGGACAATGGCTCTTCGAGCCTACAAATAAATTCTTAATCATATCTATAAACTTCGCTAAATACAGATCAGATTTATTCTTATCAAAGGCAGTTATATAATGCTTAGACTTTCTTTTCTTCTTTCGAGGATATTTGCGGGAATTGAGTTTAGATGAGGAAGTAAAGCTTTGAATTGAAGATTTATCGATTTCTGTTCCAGAATCAGATAAGTTATTTTTACTAGAGCTGACTTTGTGACTTTTCGAGTTGCCTATTGGACTGCTATCTCCTTCGATTAATGGAATACTCATACCATCTATTACAATTCTAGCATGACGGGTATAAGTTTTTGGGGAATATTCAAAGCTTATTTTTGCTTCACGCATCCATAACCAGTCTTGTCCCAGCACCAGATCAAACAATGGATTTTTGCGAATTTGGAAGTCTATTACTTCAATATTACCTAAGCCTCGCCACTTTCCTTTATAATGGAATTGTAAATCTAGGTCTTTTATTTCTTTGCCTATTATATCTTCATTGAGTAGACCTTCTAATCCGTGATCAGATTCAAGCTTATTATACAAGTGCCTGCTAATAGTATTGGATTTAGATGTTGTGTTGATTAATGCTTTAACTGGAATTTTTCCTTTTACGAGTGTTTCTATGAATATCATGTCAAATATTATTTAATGATATATAATATAACCAAAAAAATAACTCAGTAAATAATTAACCATTCTCCACTGCTAAATAAAATTATTTGTGACCCGCGTTGGAGGATTCTCTCTGAGATGATTAATAATTGCAGAAATAAGATCTGTTTCATCTGATATATGACTCAAATAGTAGTCTCTAAAGGTCCTGGTTATGGCTATCCCATTTCGTCGACCAGTAAAGATTGGAATAAGTGGAGATAAATCAGAAACGGGGAATTCATCATCGGAATAATCTGGAATAAGTGGGGGTAGATCAGAATCCAAGAATTCATTATCAGAATAAACTGGATGTTTAATTTTAATTTTTGAATTAAGTTTCTTTATCACTTCTTCGCTAATCCCTTTACACACCTCCAAACTAAGATATTTCAAATTAGTACAGTTGCAAACTATTTCCTCGACAGCTTTATTACTAATCGAACAATCATCAAGCTCAAGATGTCTAAGTTTTGGGCATGAGCGAGCAATTTCAGTGATGCATCGATTAGTGAGACATATACATGAATTAAGACTCAGATGCTGTAGTTTCAGAGAATATCTCGCAATTTCTATAATTGGTATGTTAGAGAAACCATCACATCGATCGAGAATAAGAGTGCATATATCTGGACATGAGCGTAGAATCGCACTAATCAATGCATTGTTGATTTTTAAACCTTCCAATCTGAGATATACCATCTTTGAACAATAGAGTAGCTTTATTTTTCTACATATAACTCTTTTAAAGTTTATCAATCGCCGAGTAAGAGCTCGTGGCATCTTTCAACCATATGAACCTCTCTGATAATCTTTTTCTGTATAAAACTCAATGCGATGCTATAGAATAGGAACACTGCAGTAATACCAAAAGTGGTTGACAAATAAAGTAGGATAGAGAGATCGATCAATTTCTAAAAAATGTAAGATCTGTTCTAGTAACTCGGATATATTAAAAATATTAAGCTGTTGCATCATTCTCAAGCAATGTATATCTTCAATCAAAAAAATAGACACAAAATGTCCTGCTCTGCAGACTAATATTCGAATAAATAATTTAAGCACAGATAGCATTCATTTTTCGGTTATTCTCAAGATCAGAAAAGTCTGTCTCAGATTCAGATGCATTATCCTCTATCAGTATAAGCTCTTTTCTCATTATAGGGATCGCAAAATTATCGTGTATGATAAGTTGATTATCACATATATTAACTATTGCATTATTTTTCTATAATCACGGGTTTCCCAATATTAAATCAGGTCCAGACCAATCTGACTCGAGAATAAAGAATTCTATGGGATCGGTATTTTTATGGTTTCCATAATTGATAAAACTTGTTCGCAAATCTATTTTTCCTAATGCATTAATTGATTCATTAATCCCTTCTATTTTGGATCCGATATCACTTTCATGAAATGTTAAACCTATCTTGTCAATATATATTTTTTTAACTACATTTATACTAGTACCTAAATCGATGTAAGCCTTGATAGGAGAATTTTCTTCGACTGCGCAATTTACAAACAACATTTTGATTATATTATAGATGATATATTTAATTCTGCACTTTTAAATTCGTATTAATAAAATAATTTAATATTTACAATGACCAAAGCTGATAAAACCGTATCCCATATTACTAAACAAGTATCAGGTAAAAAAATTCAGATCTCTCTTTACCGATTACTGGAGATAGTGAAACCCGAAATTCAGCAAGATATTATAAATTCAATAACAAAACTCAATATTTCTCAAAGAAATCGTACACCATCTGAGGTTAAAAGAAAAAAGAGATTTTTAAACAATATCGCATCTTCATCCAAATTCTCGTCTTCATCTGAATCTGGATCTGGGTCTGACTTTGAATCGTCTAATAATGCTAAAGATTTTACTATGGATATGGTACAAGTGAAGAAGCGTGATTA